CTCTTGTGAGACACTCTTGTAGGACACTCTTGTGGAGCACTCTTACAGGACACTCTTGCGGAGCACTCTTACAGGACACTCTTGTAGGACACTCTTGTGGGACACTCTTGTAGGAAACTCTTGTGGAGCACTCTTACAGGACACTCTTGTGGAGCACTCTTACAGGACACTCTTGTGGAAAACTCTTGTGGGTCACTCTTGTAGGACACTCTTGTGGGACACTCTTGCGGGGCACTCTTATGGGACACTCTCTTGTGAGACACTCTTGTAGGACACTCACTCTTACACGACACTCTTGTGGGGCACTCTTACAGGACACTCTTGTGGGAAACTCATGTGGGTCACCATTGTAGGAAACTCTTGTGGGTCACTCTTGTAGGACACTCTTGTGGGACACTCTTGCGGGACACTCTTATGGGACACTCTCTCGTGAGACACTCTTGTAGGACACTCTTGTGGAGCACTCTTACAGGACACTCTTGTGGAGCACTCTTACAGGACACTCTTGTAGCACACTCTTACAGGACACAGTTGTGGAGCACTCTTACAGGACACTCTTGTAGGACACTCTTGTGGGACACTCTTGTAGCAAACTCTTGTGGGAAACTCTTGTGGGTCACTCTTGTAGGACACTCTTGTGGGACACTCTTGTAGGACACTCTTGTAGGAAACTCTTGTGGAGCACTCTTACAGGACACTCTTGTGGAGCACTCTTACAGGACAGTCTTGTGGGAAACTCTTGTGGGTCACTCTCTTGTGAGACACTCTTGTAGGACACTCTTGTGGGACACTCTTCTGGGACACTCTTGTGGAGCACCCTTACAGAACACTCTTGCGGGAAACTCTTGCGGGACACTCTTGTAGGAAACTCTGGTGGGTCACTCTTATGGGACACTCACCACTCTGGCACACTCTTGCGGGACACTCTTACGGGACACTCTCTTGTGAGACACTCTTGTAGGACACTCTTGTGGAGCACTCTTACAGGACACTCTTGTGGAGCACTCTTACAGGATACTCTTCTGGAACACTCTTACAGGACACTCTTGTAGGACACTCTTACAGGACACTCTTGTGGAGCACTCTTACAGGACACTCTTGTGGAGCACTCTTACAGGACACTCTTGTAGGGCACTCTTGTGGGACACTCTTGTAGGAAACTCTTGTGGGTCACTCTTGTAGGACACTCTTG